AGCTGTGCCTGTAAGAAGCATTTCTATGTGTACCCTGTGTATGTAGAGAAAGAAATATTAGATATTAATTTGGATCCTGAAATTCATAAATTGGTAACTAAAACCTGTGCCTTCCAACTGCATTACCTTCTAATTTCTATCAGTTCTCATGAAAAACTTAAAACTCAGTATTTTTCCAAAATTTGCAGCTCAAAGTAAATACTTTTCATTTAAACTAATTTCAGTTAACATAATAAAATAGGGAAAACATCACCCACTTAAAAACAGCTTAAATTGCATGTACTTTGTCACTCTAAATAAACAAGGTAAACATTGACATGACTTTAAATTATTCTTGGGTTGAAAAAAATCTGCAGTTCAAAATAAATTTCGCCTTTGGTCAACATGTTGGATGCAATTCAAAGTTTCTCAAAAAATAAACATATTTTAAGGAGTGTTTTGAATTTCACTGCATAATTTCTAGCCAACAGAAATGACAGTGGTATCTTTAAAGTTTATTACATGTCAGATCAATAGCCATTATGCAGGGCTGACACGACCATGGAGATGCAGTACCTTCCCTCTACTTAACCCTTAGTACTGTGACCCACTGTGACGTGATTAGAAAAACTTCCCCTAGGTGGTCCGAGGGAAATCTCCTCACAAAGTGAAACTTTCACGTTTGTTTAATAATAAAAATATTCTTTTCTGATAAAATGGAAAGTGAGCTGAATTTTTAATCAAGAAAGCAAAATGTTCATTAAAGTAATCTTCCAGAGAGTTTTTCAACAAAAGGGGAGAAGAGTTTTATATTCTGCATAATAACAAATTGTTTTGAAGCATGAGCTTAAAATGAAAATGCCCCATTACAACAGATTGTAAATTTTTTTCTGATGCTTTTAAAAGTGCCTCAATCATTTCTACGACTACAGTGCTAAAGTTAAGTATTTGCTATTTTATTTAAACATTTTTGAAAAATGAACATTCTGAGGCTTTGCAGCATTATTAAGAAAAGCTGTCCATACTTTACCATGTTGTTACATGTGTTTATCTGCTGATTATAAAATGTGTTAAACAGTATTTTAAAAACAAAAAAAAATGCAGCGCTGCGCTTTGATTAATTCAGTGAACAAAACATATGCTGTTGGTTCTGTTCTATGAAATTCATATATGATCAATAAAATCTTTTAAAAGAGCAACTTTGGCTTTTAGGATTGTACTGCCGACCATGATTTTTGTCCCAGTTAGCTCTGGGCTCATATTGTTTGTTAACTTAGGCAAACAAAACCACTTTCTGACTATGATGGCAATAATATCTTTTTGATATATTCTTCTTTCTAAAATTTCTTTAGGTTGGAAGCTGTGTACTGTGGTTGTTACCCACTTTGTCCCAAAGATCTGGTTTATCCCGAAATATTTCCAGGTAGCTCCTTTCATGTGTATTCGTCTTTGTTGAGATTTAATACATGATTCATGCTAAATTAGAAAGTTTGAAAATAAACTTAGGCAGGAGCAATTGTTTATTTGGCAAGTCAACATGTTAGTGTTAAGGAAAATTTTATGTGTTTTAATACATTAGAGTAAGCTTATATTTACCATCTGTTCTTTTAAGATAACAAAAAAGCAAGTTTTCAAATAGCATTCTTCATTGTTAGCATACACATCCCATAATGATGGATTTTTATAATCAGGTCAGTGTTACAGCAATTGCTTACAGATTTTTTTTTTTAATGATATACACAGAGAAAAATCAAGGACTGAAAGTCACACCAAATTATTTAAACAATTGACTAGTTAATAATATGCAACTGTTATACAGGATACATGCGGCTATAGTACCAGTTCTTTGAAAAAATTCTCATCACTAAATATATCACATATGCATTGTGTTGCATTAGAATAATGTATTTTAATCACCCAAAGGAGATGTCTAAACAGCACAACTACACAGTCTTATTTAGCATTAAACATCCTTGTGAGCTGAGGTAACCTTATAAAATCATGCTTAAATAATGTACAACATGAGGCGGCACAGAGCAATATGCATTTTTAATTAGTAAAGTGACTAATATCGAGTGTGTGCTTTGAGGTTTTTGTTTCATTAAAAATGTATCTGTTTTTCCTGCAGCTGAATATCTGTATTCTACACCTGAACAGCTTTCAAAAAGGCTCCAGAATTTCTGCAAGAGACCAGATATTATAAGAAAACATCTCTATAAGGTAGTTATTGAGAAGAGATTTACATGGTATAAATGCCATATTGAAGTACAAAGAAAAATCTTTTAAAAAAAACATTTAATTAACATACTAATGTTTAAAGGAAACATGCTAGGGAGGGATATTAGTTGTTACACTAACAAGGATTAATTAAACTGGATGCCAGTTGTATTAACCTAGGTCTTATGAAATACGTGCACTTAATGCACGGTACATGCTTTTTTTTTAATTTATTGTTTTCTAAGATGACTGTCCTTTACATTTAGCCCCAAGAGGCTTATAAAAATGAACCTGGATTAATGTAACTCATTAGTTTAAAAGGAAGTAAAGGAAAGATTCTACAATTATACTAATGAGGATAAGCCTTTCTTCCCATCATAATGAAATCTTTAGTCCTCAAAAATTCAGGTGAATGACATTAGTGAAGTTTGGTGTTCATTTTTTAACTACTTTAAAGATGATTTGCAAGAATCGAGTATTTCCCTGTCCAGTTTAATCAAATGACATAAAAATCCTCAGTTTGTTTAGATTAGACTGTCGGTCTCATCTCTGAATTGCAGAGGCAAAAGGAAAATAGTATAAATAGCATCATTATTCAGTCCCCTCAATCATTCTCTTTTTTTTTCCTTCTTTGAATCAAGACTTTTACATTGTTGAAATAACAACACAAAGAGGCCCTACTAAAAGTCTAAGTAATTGAACCAGGATAAATCTGCTTTACTAGATTCGAAGGTGGCTCTAAGCCATGAGTAATATACCTTTTTATATTCTTCAAATGTAGCGTCTTCATTTTACATAAATTCAGTATAGTTTACAATCTAGCAGTTTTATAATCCAGCCTATTTTAATTTTCCTGTGTTAATATATAACCTTCTGCATAAAATACAGTTCTCTGCCTTTTTTTTTTCTCTCCTTTCCCTGTTCATGGCCTAAAATACATATTTACATAGTGATACATCAAAACATGACTTTGTTTCTGCAGGAAACAGTTAAACTTCAAGAAAAAGGGAGAGAACCAAAAATGCAATTTAACACCCAATTTCAAGCTCATTATCTTTCATTGTCTATTAACTTGGCAATGGTTCAGAAGGTAGCTCATAATAGTTTAAAATGCTGACTGAACAGTTCCAGGCTTCAGTATGACTCCTTGAGTCAATACTATTGTATTGTATACATGGGAAGCTCACAGAGAAAACGGTCCTCCAAGGTTTACCTCAGTATTTCCTAATTTTTAAAGTTCAGTAGCAGTTTTGCTTGTATAAAATATTAACTGAATAGTTTCCCACGTGGTAGACTGTCAAAATATGCAGATTATGAAAATTGAGGAAATAGAATAAGTATTAGCACAAGTGGAATCATTTTCTATATATGACATAAAGCTATTTTCAATGAGTTCTCAAATTATTGATTTCCACCCCCTTTGGTGAATTTTTGGTGAAGTATTTATAAATTGTTTCTACCACTGGAATTTGTCAGTTTTCGGTGTTGCTTCAGGTTGGGCCTTATTAACCCTGTTATTCTGCATGTGCAAATTTTTAACCATTTCAAAAGCTACCGCAACAAGTTGCCTCTAGTTAGGAAAAAAAGGCAGATCTGCAGTTGAAATATTTTAAAACAGCCACTGCCATAACATAGCTATAATTATTTTACTTTACAAACAACTTATAAAAAAATTCTGAAAGAATAGTAGCTTCATGGTAATGCTGTTAAGATATCAAAGTTTTCCTTATATAGCATAAAAAATAACATGTACCTTAAATGTTATTTCATTGAGCTATTATATGTTAGTACTTACATATATTTTTAGTTTGTATATCATAAAATCATCAAGCTCAAATTTTTATATATTAGTAATTCATGCATAAGCATTCGTAAGAATTTATATTTATAATTCATTTTTAAGTATTTTTCTGCCATGGATTTTTCTCTTATAAATCTATAAGAGATTTACATTTTCACATATGTCTTCATTCATAGATGTTAGTGATGTTGTGACTAAAAATCAATCTCAAATATTAATAAATACTTCCAAAGTATAAGTGATCAAGAACTTTAGTTTACAATTATTAAGGAAAAACTGGCATGTGGCAAGGTACTGTGTTAAAATCACAGCAAGGACCACACATTCAGTTTGTTTGTTGTAAGAGGATTTAGAGCCAAAACAACAACAAAAAAAGAATGCCTTCTAAAACTTTACAATAAAAATACAATAAGTTATGCTAATTTTTCACCTTATGTTTTATAATTATACACATTTTCAGGTAACATTTGCTTTTACTAAATACTAGAGAATGATTTCTTCCGAGACAGCTTTTTACCTACTTTTCTTATGCAGTGGAAGAGGATCTTTTGTGTGTACAGTGAAGCGAATGTTGAGGGTTATTTTTAGATTTATTTCATTGGACAGTGCTGTTTTGCTTTTATAAAACATATGCTTCTAAGATCTAAAAGGATAGAATGTCACCGAATTCTTTAATTTGTTCCTTTTACATTTTTACACCTTATTCTTTTTTTGTTGTTAAAAGTTTACATTTTAAAATCCTTTCGACTTCTTATCATATAGAGTTCACTTTAGGATAAGATTTTTCATATGGATTCACACTTAGAAATTTAATGACTAGAATAAGGCTACTAACACTTGGCTTTCTTCTCACATGAGACATTATACTTTCAATATGAGTGAGAGTTTTGGGGCTATAACTTGAAGCAGAATTTGAAACAGAATGCTAGTAACTGAAAAGCAGAAACAGAATTTACTTTTTTTCTTAAAGTGACTCTTTCTATTACAGCACACTGTGTCCATGACTTCCCACCTGAAATAGTTTCAGACCTCAAATGTTTAAATTCCTCATGTTCACGCAAGTGTGCTCTTACTCTTTCTTTCTTAAACACACATACTCACACACATACACATTTTTCTGAGGCTCTTTAGCAAAATCCAATGCATGCAAAAATTAGATGCTTCTTAATAATTTTAAAATTTAAAACCATTTCCTTAATGTTAAAAAAAATCTAAAACTACTTCTTAAAAGGTTTATATCTACAGTTTAATCACTACCTTCTTATACCGTCAGGACATGTCCTTTTAGAGGCCAGGCAGATGCATTGAACACATACCTGTCACATGCATAAAATAGGGAGCTCTTTTATGACTCCCAACTTGGACACAAGTTTCTAAAAGTAATAAATAATACAATAATCAACCAAGGATTGACACTTCTAATAGTTCTTCTTTTCCAACCCAAGCAAGTCTAATACTGTGAAGTTGTATTTTTTATCTCACTTTTACTATATGAATTTACTTACTGAAATTTTTCAATAATTACTTGAGTATTTCATGTTTTTAGAGAACCTTAATCATTATGTTTTAACATAGTATAGGAAAAAAATTGATGGCTATTCCCTTCTTACCAGTATTGAAAATAGCAAAAGGGTACAAATGATGGGGCAGCTGTATAAGGTAGATGTCACCCTGACTAACAGAATAGATTTTCGTTCCCATCCTATTTTTTATTTTAATTTATAAACTTCATGATATTCTACAGTTAAGAGAGAGAGAGATGCCATTCTTTCTTTTGAGTGACCTATAGTTTCTTAATATTTTTCAGGTGATAACTGCTGATATTTTTGTTCTCCTCTTCAAGTTCTTTTTGGAGGAGAGAACTTTTCAGATTTCTGTCCAAAACTAATTCCAAACAATGATTAAGCTTACAATTCAGATTCAATGCCCAGAAAAGCCATTTGTGGTTGTCTTAATTATGTCAGGCTATATCTACCCAAACCACAGCCAAGCCACTTTAAGTTTCCTTCAAGAGACTGGTCACTTTATAGTCCCCTTTTAATTGGAGCTTCAACTCTAGATTGAATAAAGTGTTGCTCACTGGTTTTAACATGGCTCCAGAGTCCTCACTTTTTCCTTTAAAAGTAAAACATAAATGCTTGTGACATTTTAAGAACTTCTAAAATCTCTCAACTGCCACCAGACAATTAAGGCAAATTCTCAATCTCTCAGCTATTTTTCTCTTTCTCTCTCCCCTGCCTTTCCCTCTCTTCCTTGTTTCCTTTTCTTTGTTCCTTCCTCTATGCCTTCTTTGCTTCTTCCCTTGGTTTTATCTGGTCTAGTGTTCCTTCAATTTGTCTAAATAAAATAAAAGGAAAAAACTTGTAGCATCATATTCTTTGGCTGATTAAGATCATTTAGAGGTTTTGGCCTCTCGTCCTTCCCTGCTGTTCATTTGCAGCCTGACTGTAGGTGATTTTCATGGCCTCTATATGATTCATCTGTAAACCTGGAAGATTTTTTTTTTCAATCTTAATAGCATTTTTCCCCTGAGGTATGGCTATAATGAATTAATGAATATAAACCTGTTTGTAAATGTGAAGCACTTTATAAATTCCATCTAATACTAATGGCATTTATCTTTGTGTCTTCACCACTTAAAAGTAAAATTTAGATTCTCAAAAACATGTATTACGGAGTGTTGGATATCTTGTGTTTATAAAAGTTAAAAGTTGGATGATAAACTTCTAATAGCTGTCATCCATAACATAAACCAGAATATACGTGTGCAGCAGAATGTGCCCGTTTGCAAAAAACGGTAGCCTGTTCCTATGGTTGGAAACCCAGTCGCACTTTAAACCAATCAGAAACTGAGATTTCTTGAGGTGATGAAACTCGAGAACCATTTGCTTGGTGGCGTTTTGAAATATAATTGACGCAAGTGATGCAGATTTGCGACATAAATTTTCAGCATACTTTAGTCTTTCAGTCATTAATGCCTCTTCACTTCTTTCTCTTCTCCCCCTCCTCCTTGTTACAGGGTGAAGTGGCTCCATTTTCTTGGGCAGCCCTACATGGTAAATTCAGGTCTCTGCTTAACAACAGAACCTAGGGAAGATTTGTGACAGATGGGGCTAAGTCACAAACTTGCAGCCTAAGGCAGAATCTGAAGAACTTTCCAGAGTGTGCCCATATTTACCTGATCAGAGAGAAAAGAAAATCTGCAGAGGAAGCTGAGCCTGGCTGCTTGTCATAGCTGACACAGAGCCATCTGCCACAAACCTGTGGCGGCTTCAGATCTCCAATCCCTGCCACCACCCCAACTCAAATTAAATACAGATTCCTAGAGACGTTATGATGGTTACACATGTCCTCGGCATCACATGTAGGAGACTGTTCAAAAAAAAATATGTGGCCTGTTGTATAACCGCACTCATGTATCCCATATGTGGTGCCACATTGAATTTCCGGTTGAATCCGTTTTTATCCTTTGTACTGGATGACATGGTGCCTGAATTCTTTCTTTTCGCCGACACGATGGCAGCCAAACTGCAGCTTCAAACGCTCACACTTGGCTGGGTTTCTACCTAGGTTGCCAGGTTATCATCGGAACCTTCTTGTGTCCTCAGAGGGCCACGGGGCCTGAAAGGAGGACCGGAATGCTCCCGGACTAATTGGGCAGTCATCTCGGAATTGTTTGTGGGCAAAGGGCTGCTTTAGCACTTTTCTTTTTGCAAATTAATGACTCTCAGGCACAGGGGTTTTTAAGTGAAGGTATTAATAAGAGGTCTGGCAGGTATTCCCATGATTCACAGAGTTACATTTGCATTTAATTAATCTTAAAGAAAGTTGCAAGATAAACAGCTGTAATTCGGACAAACATGGCAAATACAGTCAGTGGGGCCATCTAGCCCATAAAGTGAACACCGAGATACTTGTCTGAATTTCTTTCCAGGGGTAAAAATACTTCTAAAAAACCAGTGGTTTTGATATAAATATTCCTTGAAAATATTTGCATCCAACTACAAATATAATCTTTTCAAGATAGATCACTTATGATTCCAATAGTCAAGCTCCTGTATTTGTTGATGTAAGGATGTTTTGAACAGCTAGATTGTAAAATAAATTTTTAATAAAGTGCCCACTGCAACTTTTAATTAGCATATTCATTTACGTATAAGTGTGTACATCTATCTGTATGTTTCTCACTGAACATTTTCCTTGTGACAGAGACAGGAATACAATTGTTTCTTTTCCGGATGAACAAGGATCTGTTTTGCAAATGTTTGTAAGATATTATGACATTTCCAAGATTTTCTTTGCATTCTGGAAAGCAGGAGGTAAACATTTGTAGTCATTAAGGTAAAGTCTGTTGATAAACCATCTTCTGTTTACTGACAGGTAAATTGTAACTTTCCTAGCTTTTGAAATGAATAAGTTCTATACACCACAGAGTGAGGCGCAGCCGGGGAAAGGTGGCTAGACGAGGGCCAGGCCTGGCTCTCTGGCTTCCAGAAGGATTGAACGGCCTCGCAGGCATCCAAGATAGAGCTGACAATGGTTCAGAAGTCCAGCAGGGCCCATTTGACAGGTAGCAAAATTGAAGCAGGAAATAAATCAAGCTTAGGGAGCCAGGCACAGCCCTGGGGTAGAGGCAGTATCGCAGATCAAAGAAGAAGGCAGGAGTTCAGAGTGTGTGAGGCCTGGGAATTCAAAATCAGGAAGAGTAAGAAGCGGCAACAACAAGCTCTGTCTTTGAACAGAGACTCCTCTCTAATCTGCATGAGAGCCATAGTCTGTGATGGGCCACCATACTTTCAGGCCTCACTTACAGAGAAGTCGCTGAGCAAATTACCTCCTCACCCATGAAACAAAGGGCTTGGGAACTATTTTGGAAATGTAAGACTGGAGCTCAGAATCTAGCAGGTGTGCTCCTTTTGAGAGTAAAACTGAAGATATAAATATGAGTGACAAGTTCTTAGACACTTCTCCTGGGCAAGGTGATACTTTTTATTCCCTCTAGTGAGATGAACCAGATGAGTCAATATACTTCAGTCAGAAAGGTGCTGTGTCACAGATGACATCCTCTCAAAATAAGATTACAATCTCACAGCCAAGAAACAGAGCTTTAGTTTGCTCTGTTTTTCTAGCCCAAAAATAATGGATTCATCTTTTATAGTGGCTAAGATGTTATATGCACAACCACTATCCATATACGTTTTCTCACTAATCATGGGTAAAAAAAAAGCATTAAATACCCTTCAGAGAACACTTCTGAAACATTTCCATATTTTCCTGATTTTGGTGAATATAATATTGAAAGTTACCTGCATATGGGTTTTTTTTCCTACACCCATAAACTCAAATCAAATTTTATCTTTAGCTGTGGCCAGCATTTCTTCCAGGATAAAAACTTACACTTAGAAAGGTATCACTCCTGAAACTGTGCTGTCAGAGTTGGTATTAGTACACGTAAGCAAAAAAAGAGTTTTTGTAAATGTGTAATTCTTAACATTAAAAAAGATGTATTAATAACTGTGTGTGTGCACGTGCACACATTTCTCAATACCTGTGACATGGTGGAATGGTGTGTTTTTAAGTAAGTTAACCAGTATTTTGTTGAAGTCAGCAGATCAGTGAGAATACAAGTTGACTCATTAATTCCTGTTTCCCTTATTTTCAGGAAAGAGATCAAACGCCCCCATTATTTCTTGGTTTGAGTATGTTTGTTGGAAAATGTCTTTTTTCAAACACTCAATTCTATTTTTAAAAAAAATAATATCAATGTTAATTTTAAATATCTTTAAAAGTCTGCCTGTTGTCAAGACCTTGATACAATGTCTAAGATGCTTGCCCTAAAACTTATTCTGTGTTTCTGGCAAGGTGTTTCTATAATAAATAACAATGTACCTGGTTCTTAACCTACTCATTTATACCACGGTGATCAGGAATAGGTCAAAAGACCTTTTGCAAAATGCTTCTGGTTTAATAAAAATCCTTCAAATAAAAATCCTTCAAAGTTCAGTTTCAGTGTCCTGCTCTTGTTCTCAGTTCTTCAGACACGCCTCAGAAAGACAGCAACAGAATCCGCAAGTCAATGGAAACTCTTAGCCATGGAGAGCTGCATAGATTAATTTCAACACCTTGAAATGCATCTGGAAGCAAAGATTTCATTTTATGTTGAAGGTGTTAATTATATTTGATATTTTTAAAAGTAAAATCTGTTTTTGAGAAAGCATCTGCTACCCAGAAATATTATGAGCCACAAAAGAAATTTCACTTAAGTCTCAAGATACTTTCTGGGGTGACAGAATCAGTTTTCCAATGGTAGTCCATGCTGTCTTTCAGTGCAGACATGTGCTGTGAGTCTCATTCTTCTATTGACTGTTGACCTCATTGCCTTTCTGCTTCAGTGGAAAATTAGGGAGTATTTAATATCAGATCGAAGAGACTGTATGATAAACCACTGGCTTGAACATGTTTCATTTTAAAATTTGAATTGAGACACAGGACAACTAATGCTTCTATAATATGACCTTCCTTCAAAGCTATTCATTAAAGTGTAACTGAGAAAGTTTTAAAACATGCAAGCAATTCTATATGCTGCTCAAAGATATGCACATATGTGATTGAGGTGTAGTATTACAAAAAACATGGAAATTAACCCAACTTCCAATAATGGTTATATAAGTCAGAGGAGCAGTGGTGAAAAGAACAGGACACACAGGTGGGGAGAGGTGCAGTCGCTGCATGATTGACCGTCTGTTTCTTACGCTGGATCATGGTATGAAAAGACCTCTTACTACTGTTTGTGACTCCGTACATGTCTTCAGTGTAATTATTAGACATGCCTTTTGGTAGGAGCTATAAATACTTTGGGAAGCAGTTAGTTTTGCTACCATGCCACCTGACTTCCTAAACTATTCATCAAGTCAGAAAACCGTTTCCCTCAGAGAGTGACAGACACTACCCTAACTGCCACTTTGGGGGAGAAGACTGCCCTCTGCTTACCAGCAGCCACGGACTTCACCTCAACCCTGGAACAAAGCGGGCTGTGGGGGAAGTCCCTGGGTTCCTTTTGCTTGGGGCTGCTGATGCTTGTGGCCTTGCAAACACAGGACGGAACCCTACAACTCTATGAACGCCATTTTGGAGGGTCCTGAGAGGAGGGTGAAGGCAGATGTTAAATGAGTCCAGTCTTTTTATTTATCTTGAAAACTTCAGAGCCTCATGGCAGAGCACCAGAGCTTTCTGAGCTCCTACCCATTCCCCATCCTGTTGCCTGTCCCCTTGGCCCTTTAAGACACAGAACGAGTTGTGGAACAGCCCATTTTTCTAAGTTGGAATTTGGGATCAGTGTCTTCAGGGGTTCTCCTATTATCTGTCATTACCTGAGTGATTCCTTATTCTCTCCCAAAGCTCCATGGTAATGAGTTTCAACCCTAGGGGAGGTTCCTAATTGTTTTCATAAACTGATACCAGGAATTGATGATTCTTGGAAGATAATTTTAAACGCCTGTATTACTCTCCTATCAAGCACTGCATTTAAATAGCAGACCTAAGATGGGGTGTGAGAAGACTTTTATTAGGAATACTTGTGTGACCTTTCTCTAGCAATACGAAATCCTTCATATCCAAAAATTTAGTGTTTCCAATATCATTTCACCAGTGAAAAAATTAAGGCATCAATTGAGGCATATTTAGGAGCTGAAGCATTGCAGAAACAGAAAGCCTTTATGTATACGCCTGTCCCTACATGGGATGTTGTCATGGTCACCTATACACCTTTCAGGAAGCACCAAGTCCAGTGCACGTGACTCAGTTGGACCTCTAGTTCCCTTCTATTTCCTGGCCCGGCGAGAGATGGCAAAGGGCAATGGGGGGGAGGTTACTCTGTGGCCCACTTTGTTGGTGGGAAAACGGACATGAGATAGCACATAGTGTAGCCAGTAATTAAATGTTCAAATGTTTTTATTATTCCTGTTATTCTGCCTTTACAGAGGCATTCCATCTGTACGTCCTGTTGCAGGCCTCTACCACTCTCTGTGGTCTTACACTCTGCTGGATTCATACATTCTGGTAACTTCCCCAGCCCTCCTGGGAAGCAGTTATTTTTTGTAACCTCCCTATATTTTAGCGGTAGGAAACTGAGGGCTTAAGGAGAAGTTGACTTGCCTTGGGTCCCATGGCGGTAGAGGCTGGTCTAGAATGCAGATTTTCCAGGACTCTTTTAGTAGGCTGTGGTTGATTTAATTGGTCAAGCCCAACTCTGAAAGAAGCAGAAGGGGAAAACATTTGTCTCTCCATCTTCTTCCCATTTTTCGTCCTTGTCGTGCCTCTCACTATCAGAAGAAACATGAATTTATAAATTGCTAATACCATACCGTAGACTTATTTCATGTTACGCATGGCTGTATTTGTATCCTAAGTGACCATAAGGAGAGGAATGCAAAAGAATCGATTTCTGGCACTAAGATTTCAGACTCTGGCACTTGTGATAATTCTGAACAAGTGACTCTTCTCTGTTGCCTTCCAAATCATATAATGACAAGGTTGCTCATCCATGCAGATATGAGGCTGATCCTTTATCCAAAAGGCAGCCCCCACGACCTCCCGGGTGCAAAGGGCCAGAGAGCAGAGGGAACAGGTGGCAGTGGTGGCAGCAGCACCTTTAGTTTTGCAGCACTAGGCCCCCTTCCTCTCATCCCAAAGAGATAACCCAGAAATTACATCCTGAAACTTATTTCCCCAGAAAGAAAGGGAAGGGGAGGGATAACTCAAAAAGAAGAAACTTCTAATATGATATTAGACTGTAATTCATAGGGAAATTTATGCCACAGATATGAATTTCTGAAAATAGGGGTTTTTTTAAAAAGGGAAACTCTGACACATCCTTAATTATAGAGTAATAAATACCAATGGTATATTATCTTCCGATATTTCCTTACACAGATATCAAAGCATGCAGCTGTTTTTGAAAACTGATAATCAAGTACAATATAAGTATATTACATCTTGCACTTACAGCACACCCTTCAACTAAGCGGCATGATGGAGCACTTAACAGTGAGAAACAGAGCTGCTCATAGTAGAAACCTCACTGAACAAATGAGCTTTGAATTGTAACTTAAGAATCGTAGTCAAACCAAAGTGCCTGTCCGTGCCAGGAAAGGCATTCCAAAGGCAAAGAGCATGCCAAGTAAAAAGGCTTTCTTCAGGATTATGGAGGCAGTTCTGAAAAGCCAGCATAACTTAATGATCAATCAGAAAAATATAGAGCAGTAACTACACAACTGAAGGATGCATAAAAATTGTACAAAGCATTAATAGTGGAATGGGGAGGTAGGATGGGATTTTACCAGAAAATATTAAGCTCTTGGAAAGCTCCATTTATTGCCTTCAATCCAGGCAGCAGAAAGAAAAAGAGAGAGAGAGACACAAACATGGTCAAAGAAAAGTATGTGGACAAATGTGGGGGGTAGAAAAGGAAATGAAGGTTAAACAAGGCCAATATGATTCAGAATAAAAGGGAGGGAGTGAAGTATAAGTAAGGAGCCAGCTGCAATTACTAAATGTTACATTAAGAAGAGCTGAAATTGAGAGGGGGAGGTCTGCGTATTTTACTAAATGGATTAAACTTCCTTGGGTGTCTGAAGTTGCAGATTTTAATTTATTTGGTGCAGGGATCTATTGTGAAATTCTTAATGGGAGGGGGATAAACAGAAACAATTATAAACACTTAAGAAGTAGAAAAGAAGAACATAAAATGCTTTCTATAAATTTAACTATAACACACAGGGCTTGAAGCTATGGACAAGGGTAAACAGTTAAAAAAAATATTTAGTCCATGATAATAGAACATAAAGGGAACTAAGAGGTGCATCCAAAAAACAAACAATAGGACCAAAAAGAAAGGGGAAAAAAAACTCCACATAGATGTGTAAAGACAGATTTTGAATGATTTAGGAGCCAGTTTTATTGCTGCTCTCCTTTCTCAACCCATTTAAAAAAATAAATCATAACTCTGGCATTTAGAAACCTAGTCATGAACATCATTTATTAATATAAACTTAATCCTGTGCTGTTTTTTGGTGGGTGGTAAGAACATGAACTAACAACTGGCCTGAAACGGCAACAGGATGATCCACTCAAACACAGGAAAGCTATAAGAAAAGCAAAACTCATAATTTGCTCTTTCACCTTATTTATTTTACTGAGGGATAAAGCCAAAAAGTGGAGAGGGTGTGGCTAAATCACAAAAGGACTAGATGCCTAAATGGACATTTTTCAAGTTTTCCTAAATATGTATCAGAAACCAAGGAGAGAATTGAAACCTTGCATGACTTACATCATTTTGGTAATCTGCTAATCTACTCCCTGGGAAGGTGAGAAAGAAAGAAAGCTCTCTGCCTTCTACAATTGAAGAGACTAGGGCAGAAACTTAATCGTGTTCTTATTCCCTGAGTGTACCTCAGCTGTCATCTGGCTGGCAACCAGTCCACAGATGTATTGGTTCAGACATTCGCCTGGCCAATAATGTTAGCAGTCGTTTAAATTGTTAAATATGGATCAGAAGGTATTTAAGAATTACTGATATGTGCCTATTAATATTGAACGCAAATAATATTATTTGGGGTGTGGGCAAATCACTTGACTGGAACCACAGGAAAAAAGCACTTTCAAAATTTATTTTAAAAATGCTGTGGGGAAAATGGCGTTGATAAAAACAAAACAATTGAAAATGGAAAAAATAGTACCTACAACGAGGAAGGTTGGTAAAATGTCTAGGCAAAGTGGCCTGGGCTCCTTCAACCTGATGCTTCATTGTATCAGCTGTTTGTAAAGATAGCTCATAAAGAGACAAACCCTCTATTTCTAAAGTTGACCCAGGAACAAGAGGAAGAAAATACATAGTGCCATGGGTGGCAGCTCAGGGCGATGCTCAGAAGTCATCTGCACGCTAATTTTAGTGTCAGAGGTTTGTAAATGGTCAGTGAGGGGACTTTGGATTCTGAACACTATCC